CAGCAGTAATGAATCAATGGTACAGAAGTGGAGGAAGCAAGAGCAATGAGTTGAGTAAAGTTTGACTTATCTGACTTTTTTTTAACTTAATGCGCCTTATAATCCAGTACACCTAATCCGGAAAATACGATATCAGTTGATATCCGGTCACCAGCACACATCTTAAAAACCGCTGAGTTTTAGTTCTCAGTGAAGGTTAAACACTGGACTTATTTAACTATATCTCTATATCTATCAGGTCACCTTTATTGATTTATTCACACCTGAGCAAATCAGTTTGGCTCAGACTAAAGTTTTATGACTTCATAGTTTTACTAAAGTTTAAAGTCTCACTGGAGCACATGTTGGACTGAATCATTCACTTGTTTTTTTTTATGTGATGTTCATATGTGTTAGGCTTATTTAACCTTGAATTTTGAATTCAAACTAACAAAAAAAATTATACACGGAGGAAAGAAAACATGAATTTCAACTGAGAGGAGCAGCGTTTGAATGTGGATGTTGACGCCGTTCGTGTAGAATCACGCCCATCCAGGAATAATTACATAATGTTTTTAATATTTATTTAGATGTATTCTAAGCACCATCTGTCTGTTAGAATTTAAGTCCCCTAAAATAAAAATAAAATCAGATTTACCCAACATGTTAAATTAATTGGTGAATCTAAATTGCCCATAGGTGTGAATGTCAGTGGAAATGGTTGTCTGTCTCCCTGTGTGACCTGTCCAGTTGCACCCTGCCTGTCATCTTAAGGTAGCTGATAGGCTCCAGCCCACCTGTGACCCTGACATGGATAAGCGGAAAAGAATGTATAGATGGAGGGATGGAGAATCAGATTAACATCTGATTTGTGTGTGGTTTAAAAAACATTTAGCAGATATCGGTGTTTCAGTCGTGTTACATTTAACTGTAGAGGCTTTTTAGAAACTATGAAACACATCGTGCAGACTTTTGGATCCTAGAAGACCACTAATAATGCTCATAAATGAGACTAACGGCAGAAAGTTGTCCTGTGTGTGTCGTTAACTGCCCCTGTTGTTCCAGGTGAGAGATGGTGATGTGGAGCGTTGCAAAAAATGCATCTTCAGCTGATCTGTTAGCTCTGTATGCGAACTGGAGCGGGTTGAGTGTGGGTGGAAGGTAGCAATTTATGTGACGCCGGACAAGTTTCTCGAAACACTTCATTAAGACTGCTAATGTTGGTTCGCTTAGGCAGGGGGAATATTGTGGCCAACTTTAGGCATGGCAGGTGCAGGACTGGGACAGTGAAGCATTCAAGATCTTGGTGAAGACCCTAGTCAGCTGGTCTGCAGATTCTTTTCGGACCCTTCTGGCCAACCCATCTGGACTGGTGGCCTTCCTGGGGTTCACTGTCCTCACCTCACCTCATGTTCCTGCTGCATGAGGCTTGGGCTGCTGCTGCTGTCCGATGTTTGAGCTCTGGCTGCCTCTGTTTCCTTTACCTCAAAGCGTACAAAGAAGTGGTTCAGCTCCTTCGCAAGGGTTGCAGTACCTTCAGTCAATGTGGTATTCCCAGGTTTGTAGTTGGTTAGGTGCTGAACCTCCTGTCATACGTTGTTCACAAGTTGTTGTTGGTCTTAAATCTTCCTCTTGTGCACTGATGGTGAACCGTGTGGCATGCTAACTCAATAGCGTAGTCTGGGCTTGATGGCTGCAGCCAAGTGTCTGTAAGTAGTATAACGCTGCTGTCCCCTACACACTTGTTGAAGTAGTCTGTAATCTTAGTTCATTGATTTTATTGGTTATGGGCCTAATGTTGGAAAGGAAAATACTCTGAAGCAATTGCTTAAATGGTTTTTTCTTTATCCATGCTAGTGCCCCCCCTGCCAGCCATGTTTTTGAGACAGAGACAGAGGCTGAAAGGCTGCTCCAACGGAACTTATTGTTTCAGAGGAAAACATGAACACAGTGTACAGTCGAGTCTTAATAGCGTACTTACAACTGGGCTCGTCAGGCACTCTTTTTGGGTGCAGTGGTTATTATAATATTTACATGCTTCCAGCTCCCATCCATCTCTTAAAAATATTTCTTTACATCATTATGCGGCCCCAAATAGAGGTGACATGGGCCGCGAGATTAAGACCCAGACATTAGAGCCTCTTAAGTGTTTTTTGGGGGTTCCACTATGTGGAATTACCAAAAATAGAGAGGGCACGGCCTAAAATATGAAACAGGAAAAGAACACCGTGTAATCTATTTATTTCAACAAAATAACTGTATTCTGAATATCACCGTTTTAAACAGTAAGTGGAAAGGAATACAGTTACTCATGTTTTGTATTTTAAATAAATGAAAAAACAAAGCACCAAATGTGAGGAAAGGTGAGCCGCTGCATTAGGGGTGTCGCCATCTTGGCTATATAACTTTAGGGTTAACTCTGGGTTAGGTGTTTCCTGTGGTTCTTACCACAGTACATCACCATGGTAATGTATGCTGCAACCCTTACCTGCTCTGGAACAGGTGAAATTCCAGATTAATTTTACATATATGATCTTAATACAGGACACAGACACTGTAATTGTTGACCTCATATCAAATGTGTACATAGACTGAATCTTTGTGCAAAGTTTGTTTTTATATCTAGTCTTTGCTCGCAAACCTTTAAATAGCAGTGAGTCTGCAGCTGAGAGAATACAAACTTAAACTGAGCAGGTTTGATAGTTTCTCTTTAATTTCAAGTTAAGTTAAAAGTT